AATAAATAAATACAAAAAAAATAAATTATGATTGAGAAACAATATTATGTATGTTGTGTTGTAAGAGAAACAATTGAGACCTGCAATTGTGTGTAAATAAAGACAGAAAGTCAGATCATCAACCTGGAACTTGGTCACATATGACAGCAGGGTCTCCCCATTAGACAACACATTATGCTTCAATACCTTCCCAGTACACCTCCTGTTTGGTACCTGCCTACTACAGTAATTAAATGGAGCCTACTGTAGGTTGGTGAATTTTGATCTGTGATGTTAATTTTAGATGTGCTATATTAGTTTTTCGTTAGTTTGTGATGTAAGATGTTGAATTTTGTGGTGTTTTCAGGTGTTATGTCCCGGGTGATAAGGCGGCTGGCACCGTTCTTAGTCGCGGTGTTCACCTCTCCTCCTGCCATGCTAGGCGCTGGATCAGTGTGAGTACTGTGCAGAGGTAGATATTACATGACTGACAAGTGCAGCAGAGATGTGTGGTGTATGTATAGGGTCGCGTGGTGTATGTATAGGGTGTGTAGTGTATGTATAGGGTCGTGGTGTATGTATAGGAGTCGTGGTGTATGTATAGGGTGTGTGGTATGTATAGGGTCGTGGTGTATGTATAAGTGCGTGGTGTATGTATAAGTGCGTGGTGTATGTATAGGGTCGTGGTGTATGTATAGGGTGTGGTGTATATAGGGTGTGTGGTGTGTATGTATAGGGTCGTGGTGCATGTATAGGGTCGCGTGGTGTGTATGTATGGGGTGCGTGGTGTATGTATAGAATTCGTGGTGTATGTATAGAATGCTCAATTGTATGTATAGGAGTCGTGGTGTATGTATAGGGTGTGGTGTATGTATAGGTGTGTGGTGTACATAGGGTGTGTGTGTATGTATAGGGTGTGTGTATGTATAGGGTGTGTGGGTGTATGTATAGGGTGTGGTGTGTGTATAGGGTGTGTGGTGTATGTATGAAAAAGTGTGGGCATGTATAGGGTGTGTGGTGTATGTATAGGGTGTGTGGTGTATGTATAGGGTGTGTGGTGTATGTATAGGGTGTGTGGTGTATGTATAGGGTGCGTGGTGTATGTATAGGGTGCGTGGTGTATGTATAGGGTGTGTGGTGGATGTATAGGGTGCGTGGTGTATGTATAGGGTGCGTGGTGTATGTACAGTGACCCCTCCGTTAACGAACTCAATCCGTTCCAGAAGGTCGTTCGTTAACCGAAAAGTTCGTTAAGTGAAACCATTGTTTCAATGGGTTTTTGGGTAATTAGTTCCAGCTCACCGAAAATTTCCTAAATTCAACAAAAATGGTAGAAAAGTTCACTTACTTTGAGGTGTGTATGTAGAAGGCTCCTGGATGATGATGATGATGATGGGATTTAGAATGGGGGTGGAGGAGAAGGAAGAAGAGAAGGCATTGGGGTGGAAGAGAAGTCATTCCATGGTTTATTTCACCCATAAAATTTAGCCTTCTGGTGTAATTCAAGATTATTTCTTTTAAATCAACACTGCACTGCATTATATATTGTCAATATGTAAAATATATTTCAAAATGACCAATAATTTGCTTGGAAACACAGAAAAAAGCGTTTAGTTGAAGAGAGTCTCAAGCAAGATGTTACCTCCAGTGAAAACAGAGAGAGACAGTAACTCCTGTTTGCTGTGTTAAGAGGCTGGATGCCGCGCATTAAACTAGTCACTTTACCTTCAATTATGTTCAATAATTGTTAAAATGACAAAAAATTGAAAATTAAACTTTAAAATTATTGAATAGTATAAACTTCTTGATATTTACTAAAATAGTAAGGAATTTAAGCCCTAGAACCGATTAATGTATTGGCGGACTGATACTAAAGCTGGTTGCCTGGTCAGTGCAAGCGAAAACATGTTGAGGTCGGTTACGTAAGAACTTCGTTAATCGAATTTTTTTCGTTAACGGAATTGAAGATCCTTATGGAAGGCAGTTCGTTAATCGAAATTACGTTAACCGAGGTGTTCGTTAAACGAGGGGTCACTGTATAGGGTGCATGGTGTATGTATAGGGTGTGTGGTGTACGTATAGGGTGCGTGGTGTATGTATAGGGTGTGTGGTGTACGTATAGGGTGCGTGGTGTATGTATAGGGTGTGTGGTGTATGTATAGGGTGTGTGGTGTATGTATAGGGTGTGTGGTGTATGTATAGGGTGCGTGGTGTCCGTATAGGGTGCGTGGTGTATGTATAGGGTGCGTGGTGTATGTATAGGGTTAAATAGGTAAATATTCAATGTATAAGTGATGTTTAATCCCCATTTTGTAGAGAAATGTTCGAGGCAGAGTTCTGGGCATTCGTCGAGAGGACCAGAGTGTGTGGGAGAGAAGGGCTCTTCTTGGCCCATCCCAGGTGAAGCAACTGGTCAAGGATGGGGTCAGGGTCATTGTACAGCCGTCTAATCGCAGAGCTTACCCCATGCAGGTGAGATATACTTTACAGTACACTATATAACTTGGCTAATATTTGTACTCAAGATTTGTACTAAACAATATAATATGTAATAGTGTACAGTATGTGTAGAGAAGTACAGTACAGTAGACCCTTGTCGTTCACCAGTTTGCAATTCACAATTTAGATGATTGTTACAAAGAAGATGGTGGCTAGCTAGGGAGCCATTTCCCACAACACAATGAGTCACCCCATGAGCCTGTAGAGTCTTCCCCCTCTGTTCACACCCAGCCACTGTATGTGATGCAGCATCTCGGGTTGTACTCTTAAAACTTTAGTGTTTCTGTGTCAAATGGCCTTTAAATGGCTGCCTAGTGCTAGTGATGCTAGTGGGGTGAAATGTAAAAGGCAGAAGACATTGATGACAAAGAAAGTTAACAGAGGAGATGATGCTGCTGTGGTTGTTTGGTATGCAGTACTGCACTAAGGTAAGTAGTGTAGGTCGCTATTCACTGTTTTGCCTCTTGGCGTCATTTCTTGGAACCTTTCCCTCGTGAATAACAAGGGTCTACTGTATACAGCCCTCAGATGGTTATTTCAACCTGTCAAAGTACTTGCCAATTCTCAACACAAAATCTGAAGTACAGTTTACAATTGTTCTTTAATGTTACAGTAAAATGATTTCAAATATCTATAATATATCTGTATTTTACATGATTCTTACAATACAGGATGAAAACATAGTTACTGTAACTGTATTTTTAAGCTTATCAGAATACAGGATTGACTATATATTACAGGTGCTCCTCTACTTAAGAACGTTCAACTTACAAACTTTCAGAGATACAAACATCATCAATGAGGGGGGTTACCTGCCAGAACAGGTGTTTAATGTGGATGAGACTGGATTATTTTGAAGAAAATTCCAGATAGAACAAACATTACCTAAGAGGAGAAGAGTGAGCCAGGTTTTAAGGCTGTATTAAAGGGTATAGCTGGACTAAATATCCAATTGGATTTACAAACAAGCCTCAGGAACGTAACTCGTTGATAAGTAGAGGAGCATAGTACATTACAATACGTAACTACAGTATCTTGCTACCATATAGGATTACATAACAAAAACTGTATCTTACATGACAATACTGTACAGTAACTTTATACTGTATTTATCTTTCAGGTTTTACAGTATTTATCTTACAGGCATAATGTTTCCATTAGCCGGAGTCCCTCAAACCCGGAACTCTCTGATAGGCAGAATTAAAATTTCCTCAGTAAATCGTTCCCAAAGCCGGAATTTTTCGGAAAATTTCGGCTTTGGAAACGATTTTCAGAGGGGCTCATTTTCTGGAAAATTCCAAGACAATTTTTCCAATATCCGGAATATTCCGGGGATGGGGGAGTTACTTCTGGCTTTGAGAGAGTCGTCTGGTTACCGGGAAATGTTGTTGTTGAGAGATACCTTATATGTTACAGGCATACCAGAACGTTGGGGCCAAGATACAGGAAGACCTCTCGGAGGCTCCTGTCATTATTGGGGTGAAACAGGTCCCCATCGACCAACTCATCCCTAACAGAACGTACTGCTTCTTCTCACACACCATTAAGGCTCAAGAGGCTAATATGCCACTTCTTGAAGCTATTTTGGAGAAGGTAAGGAACGTTTGGTCTTAAGAACAGACTTATTATTGGTACAGTATTTAACAAAATATGCATTAATATATTGTGTTATTATTGTTAAAAGTGTCGTCCCTGTAGTGGAGGTGTTAGTGGTGATAGTCTACTAACACCTGGTGTATGGGGTCACCTCTGAGCTGAATAAAATCTGCCTTAGCGTCCCTGTAGTGAAGGTGTTAAATACACTGTATAATTATTAGTAGAAGTGAGTTTTATTGAAGTGTAGTAATAACTATAATTTTAACAAGGGATTAGTGTAGTACTGTAATTACTAATCCTGACATGTAATATAATTAATATCGTCCACATAATCCACATCGTCTTGTCATCCACAGAACATCCGGCTGTTGGACTACGAGCGGATGTGTGACGAACAAGGCCAGCGCGTTGTGGCATTTGGGAAGTATGCTGGAGTGGCCGGCATGATAAACATTCTCAATGGTCTTGGTCTTCGTCTGTTGGCTCTTGGTCACCACACACCCTTTATGGTGAGTCAGTCAGTCTTTGTTATTGTTATATTTAAATTGTTACTTGTGGGTCCAACTTGTGCCGTGTATAACATGTACAATACACACCCCAGCTTTTACCCACCTAACCTAAACTCGTGTTAATCTTTGTTTGTTAACTTAGCCTAAAGTAGCTCCTTGTTAGACTCTCCCGTCCTTACTCGACGACGTTTGCATTTTATCGTATTTTTTGCCGCCATCTTCCTCGCAGCACATCGGTCCGGCCCACAATTACCGCAACACGGAAATGGCCAGACAATCTATTCGCGACACAGGTTACGAGGTCTCGCTGGGGATGATGCCCAAATCCATCGGGCCTCTGACGTTTATATTCACGGGTACGGGCAACGTGTCTCAGGGAGCGCAGGAAATAGTGCAAGAACTGCCACACGAGTATGTCACCGTCAAGGCCCTCAAGAAAGTGGCAGAACATGGATGTAAGTCATAATACTGTACAGTACATTAATTTTTAAAAGATATATTGAGTATTTTATAAGAGTTTTATAATTTATTGTTGGATATGATTTGTGGTCAGAGCTTAGCGTCTTTCTCCCCAACAGCCACAAACAAGGTGTACGTGTGTGAGGTCAGTCGTCGGGACCATCTGGTGAGGAAGGACGGCGGTAAATATGACGCGGTGGAATACGAGGAACACCCGGAGCGCTACATTTCTGTCTTTGCTCACAAGGTCCGTTTATTGACTTGGGACAAATGTTTGGTTAGCTTAGTTTTCTTCCTCATAAAGTCTGTCTCATGAGTTCTTCTTCTCATAAGAACTTTGTATTTAACTCATAATTTTGGCTTCTTTATTCATAAATTCATCGTCTAACTCACAAAGAGTTAAGTAGCGTCGTATGTTACAGGTGGCGCCGTACGCCTCGGTCATCATCAATGGAATATACTGGGCCGTTAATTCCCCTAAGCTGCTGACCATCCCCGACGCCAAGTACCTTCTACAGCCAGTGTATACCCCCTGGCTGCCAGCCTCGGTACGTTGGAGTAAAATATATAACTAAAACAATTATTATATGACCTAAAAAACAGGTTAGAAGAACAAGTCTTATCTGCAAAGTTTTATTAAGTAGAATAAAATATACAATATAAATTTAGTTAAGTGAAGACCAAATGGATTAAGAAAGGGTAAAGGAACTAAAGCACTGTATTGGGTTTGAGTGAAAGAGTTTTACAGGTCCAAAGAAATTAATATATCCCAGTGATCGAGGTTAAGCCATGTTAGGAGACTATTTCAGTGACTGTATGACTGTCAGGGATTAAGTTTTCTGTCTCAAACAAAGCAACTGACTGACTGGTTGACTGATAACAAGACAAACTGTATTACTTTATGACTGTCAGGGATTAAGCGACTGACTGTTTGTCCCACTGAGCGAACTTTACAATAACCTCTCATTAATACACCCCCTCCCCCCCCCTCAGATGGGTTCTCCTTCACTACCTCACAGAATGTTGGCCATCTGCGACGTCTCAGCAGATCCGGGCGGCTCCATTGAATTCATGTCCGAGTGTACCACCATCGACACGCCGTTCTGTCTCTACGATGCCAATCAGAACAAAGATACGAACAGGTGAGGTGAGGTGAGGCAAGGTGAGGTGAGGTGAGGTGAGGCAAGGTGAGGTGAGGTGAGGCAAGGTGAGGTGAGGTGAGGCAAGGTGAGATAGCCAATTCAATGGACCAACAGATAGATGACTACATTTCAACGACATAGTATAAATTACCTCTAACTCTCATCCTTTTGTTGACCACAGTTTCAAAGGCCCCGGAGTACTGGTGTGTAGTATTGACAACATGCCCACACAACTGCCCAGAGAAGCTACAGATTTCTTCGGTTCGTTGCTTCTGCCTCACATGTACGACATCCTTCAGTCCGACCTCTCCAAGACCTTCGAGGAACACTCTTTCACGCATGCTGTTGGTGGGGTGAGAGCGTGTGCACTAAACCTTCTCTCCATCTATGTATATCCGCTTAGTCTAGAATTAAACATAATTTACCTGCTCGGTGCATGAATGAATCTTATTTTCTATACTACTGTACCTGCTTGGTGTGTATGTATATTCATTATATGTATATTTACACAGTTTATATACAGTATACTACCTGCTTGGTGTGATAACTGAGCCAATATAAACTTGTTTGAGATAATAACTATGTACCTGACCCACAGGCTATTATCACCAGTGGTGGTCGACTCACTAAAAACTTTGAGTACATCGCAGATCTCCGCGCCCAGACCAAGTACGTACCTTAACTCTCTCCTGATGTGTTTATTACATTACTGTTTTGTTCCACAGTTTTGAGAGAAACAATGGAAGTATTTGATGAGCTGTATGTACCGTATATACTCGTCTATAACCCCCCCTCGTTTATAGGTCGACCCTGATCTTTTAACCAAGAAATCGTTAATTTATGATATTCCTCGTTTATAGTTTGACCCACTTTTTTGAGGGTAATGGAACAACAAAACCTTCACTAAAAACGCTCTACGTCCTATAAACTGAGGCTCGCCGTGCATGAAACATGAGTGCCGAAAGCAAATTGTTTACCATTTATTATTACGACACTTTACACTGAAACGCGGGTAGTTTCAACAAAAATATTGTATATTTCCATTCAACTATTTATTCAAGTCAGTTAGGAGGGAGTATTATTGTAATACAACAGTTTTTAACTAAACCATTCGAAAAGCGATTACGGTAACATCTTTTGAACGAAAGAAAGCGAAAGTCATTGTTTTCGTCACGATTTTATCCCACTTTCCACTTTAATACGTACGTAATTTCAGCAAAAATATTACATTTCCGTGAATGTATTATATCAAGCACAGTATGAATAGAATATCATTGTAATATAACAGAATTGTAACCGAAAACTATTAAAAAAACGAGTAACATCTCAAGAACATCGGAAGGTTAGGTAAAGTCTTTTGTATTCGTCATGTATTTTATCCTATTTTACATTGAAATACATCACGTTTTAGCAAAACTACTTTTATTTCCGAGAATATATTCATTCAGGCGCAGTTAAGGTAAAATATACGTGTGATATAATAGTTTTTTAACTGAAAACGATTAAAAAAAACACGTGTACTGTCTAGCCCTGTTCAAAGAGAGGACTGGGAGAAGCTGTTTGGTGCTGCAGACGATGACAAGGAAAATGATTTTGATGAATTTTAATGAAAATATTCAGAAATATGGTATCGTAGTATTTATTCAAGTCAATTAGGATAGAATATTATCGTAATACAACAGTTTTTTAACTGAAAACCATTCAAAAAGCGATTACGGTAACATCTTTTGAATGAAAGAAAGCGAAAGTCATTGTTTTCGTCACGATTTTATCCCACTTTCCACTGTAATACGTACATCATTTCAGCAAAAATATTACATTTCCGTGAATGCATTATATCAAGCACAGTATGAATAGAATACCATTGTAATATAACAATATTTTAACCAAAAACTATTAAAAAACAAGTAACTTCTCTTGAACATCGGAAGGTTAGGTAAAGTCTTTTGTTTTCGTCATGTATTTTATCCTATTTTACATTAAAATACATCACGTTTCAGCAAAACTACTATTTATTTCCGAGAACATATTCATTCAGGCACAGTTAAGGTAAAATATACATGTGATGTAACAGTTTTTTAACTGAAAACGATTCGAAAAACACGTGTACCGTCTAGCTGATACAGCTGGTGGTGCGTGATGCGTCGTTGTAAACAATAGGAGGTTGAAGTAGATTACCGGGTATTATATTAAGTGTGAAATATCGAAAAGGTTTTTATTACCGGTATTTTTTGTAGATCAATGAGAACTGTGATACCGTATATGATAAGTTAGCCTGTGCTAAGAACTTCAACATAGACTACTGAACGCTCGTTGTAAGGTAATTTAGTCTATTGTAAGTTGGTGAGCTTCATCTGCTGAAGGAACTGCACAACTTTTCATTACTAATTGGTACATATTTTATGTTTCCATTGTTACTGGCAGTAAATGGTAAATATTTTTCATGTCTGAAGCTAAAAGTTGCTGCTCGCCCTTCCCATCATGCACGGGTTCAACCTAACAAAACTATTACCTATGTAGAGGTCGACCCAAAATTTTTTGCCTAAAAATTTGGTCTTAAAAACTCGAACTATACACGAGTATATACGGTATGTGTCTGATGCATTATATTGTGGCCAACCTGTTGATGAGTGTGGCCAGCCTGTTGTTGAGTGTGGCCAACCTGTTGAGTGTGGCCAACCTCTTGATGAGTGTCTGGCCAGATCACCTTGGAGAGACTGTTTGTGCTTCCTTCAAGGTATAAAACCATCTGTCATAATTTTTAGAGAAAATTATGTATCAAAATTTGACCGAGAAATGGGGAACTGTCCAAGTGTTTCCGATCAAACTGACCAATGACATTGAGGGCCTTGAACCTGAACCAATGGGGAGAGCCTGTGTGGCATTCTACAGCCTGGCTTTTGTTTAATTTGGTAAAGTGTAAATGTTTTAACATGGCCAGATACAATACTCCCAAGGTTAAGTCATCAATAAACAGTAAAATATTCATGATACATTTCTTTGGTGTAGAGTGAGTAATAACATAACTGTCCCTAGTGTCTCAACTGGCCTATTACCTCTCTCCCTCCCTTGGTGTGAGGGTGACCTGACCACAACAACCTCCCTCACTCTCTTTCTCTCTCTCACTAGTAAAGACAATTAGAAATTAAGAGAAATAAGAATTAATAAATAAAATATTAATAAATATTTTTATTACAGATCAGTAGCAAACTCGTAACGATGGTTTTAAATTAGACAAATATAGATTTAGGTCCGAGATAGGTGAACATTGGTTCGGAAATATAGCGGAACTTCTTACCAACTATCAGCAGACAGGGAAGGTTTAAATATAGTGTAAGTTGGACAGTACTGTAGCTCTTATGTTATGTCCTAACTTGTGGCAAACTTCACTCGTCAACCAGTGAGGAAAATGCTGCCGTCACAACAAAAACACCGACGTGATCTCCGTTGTAATGCGTGTGTGCATGAGCCCCCGCCCCCATTAACTAGCGAGGTTTGCGCCGGGCATCATAATATGTTATTTGGGTCGTCTGTTGTTGTTCAATAATGTTGTGTATTTTGTGTCTCTTACAGAAGGTAATGACCCAACAAACTGTACAGTACTTCTCCTGATCACATGACGTAGGGACATCTTAACTCAAGTATTTTTTATCATATATGTTTATTTATTGGCCCTTACAGATGGCCAGGTTTCTTTATTGGACCTTATAATTGGCCAGGTTCCTTTACTGGACCATAGTTGTGTAGTATAGATGGCCCTGTTTGTGTAGTAGACCTTAGACTAGACTGTTTTATTTCCTTCAGTCATTACCCCTTGTTGTACAGTACAGTATTTTAAGACCTACTTACACTATAGGTGTTGTACATAGAGTCACTTGTACAATATTTTACTTAGAATTACTCTAGTTGCATTTAACATAGTTGATTAGCATTAGTTTTATGTTTAGTGTTTGCTGACATAATGAAACACAATGTATGACACTTGCACAGCACAGCACAGTGACAACTAGTACTATCTAGGACCAAAATTAACAATTTATGATGAAATTTTGACCAAGATAATATGACCATGGAGCTTGTAAAAAGTGCTGGTATATGTACTGCACTGTAGGGTAGGAAGGCTTAAAATTGTGTTAAGTACTAACTGTATAGATGAAGTTTGGTGAGTTAAGTTTACCAGTCATTTACAGGGGTTCACCAGGTTCTGTGCAGCCTTCTGATTGTTTACATTCAACAGAAGGAAATTTGCATCAGTAAACATACCATGGACTCAAAGTTAAACAAATATCTCAATGTAGAATGTTTTTATGGTGAGCGAGCCCCTGTAAACGCACCAGTGAAGGGGACTGTACATCCAACAGTGCCGATCTTAACGGTACAGTACGCTTCACCTAACACACATTAAGACTATCGTCTCTCATTGTAACCAGAGCTACCAGCAAGTCTGCTGTCGACATGGCCAGTAAGGAGCATAAGGTGTTAGTGCTGGGTGCTGGGTACGTGTCAGCCCCTCTGGTGGAATACCTCTCAAGGAACACCAACACTGGCATCACTGTGGGTGAGTATGTAGTGCAGTAAGGTAGGACCATATGGTGTTAGTGTTGGGTACAGCATCAGTGTGGTTTAGTGCATCTTGAATCATACTAAAATAATCCACTGCTGTACCCTACAGGAGGAAGCTGTCCACTGCTGTACCCTACAGGAGGAAGACACTTTAGAGAAACATCATAAATTATATTATTTCTCTTGATTGGATTTTGTCATTTTCTCAACCAACCAGACACTTATTATGGAAAGAGTCTTTAAGTGTTTGTTGTACTCCCTGGTGACTTAACCTAACCAACAGTGTTAAGACCTATCTTGTTCTTATACTTATGGTCATCAACAGGGTTCTGTACATGGTTTATGGACCACAGGACCTCCCCAAATTCACGGATTATTGTTTTGCGTTCGTCTATAATTCGTGGATGACACTCTGGATGTACCCAAGAATGTATGTGGGTAGTTTTAAAGTTGCCGGCATTTTCACAGCTGGGACAGGGAGCCATTCATTCTAGAGACAGTAATTTACTTTAGCTGTACAGTATTGTATATATATGTGTGTGTGTGTGTCTACACACACACACACATATACAATACAAGTAAAAGAAATAATTGTCCTAAGGGCAAACACATAAAGGGAATCTACGTTTCTTTGTATACAAGTTAAAATGTATCCCCCCCCTCCTCCCCCATCCGCAAATACTATTTGCGGATTTGGCAATTCACGGCTATTTTGAGATCCTAAGCTCTGCGAATTTTGGGGGCCCCTGTATTAAAACTTAGCGGCATGGTATATGAATGATACAAGTCAAGCTGTCACTCTTTGTGGTCTTATAATGTAGTACTGTACTGTACCTTACTGTACTGTACTGTTCTGTTCTGTTCTGTTCTGTTCTGTTCTGTTCTGTTCTGTTCTGTACTGTACTGTACTGTACTGTACTGTACTGTTCTGTTCTGTTCTGTTCTGTACTGTACGTCTCTTTATTTTTAAGTCTTGGTAGTGTTTTGAGTGCTTGTGAAATACAGCAGATATTTAGAAGAACTGGTGCTTTTGAGAAACTATAGACCAGCTTTTATTATTGTTATCATTATTGTTACCTAACCTTCTCCACACATTACCTATCTTAATACAAAAGTACTGTAACTACCCTAACCTAAAGTACTGGAACAAGCTTAGCAACTTTGTAGTAAGTGCTGGAATGCTGGAAAGTTTCAAAAGGAGGCTAGATAGATTCATGGATGATAGAGAGTGGTAGTAACTCTTGACAGGAGTTGCCATGCACAGGCCAACCAGCTTGTTGTAGACTCCTTATTTTCTTATGTTCTTATGTTCTAGCTACCCTAACCTAAAGTACTGTAACTACCCTAACCTAAAGTACTGTAACTGCCCTAACCTAATAATATTAAACACAGCATCGGGACTGCAAGACGAGGTAGATGCACTGTCGGCTAAACACGCCAACGTTGAGTCTGTTCTGCTTGATGTAGTCGAGCGTCCTGACCTTCTGGCAGACTTGGTGAAGGGCGTCGACGTCGTGGTCTCTCTCCTGCCGTACTCGCTTCACCACGAGGTCGCCAAGCACTGTATAACTCAGAAGGTGGGCTCTGGGGTTAGGTTAGGTTACAGTAGGAGAAGTTAGGTTAGGGTAGAATGAATATCAACTACTGTACCTAGAAAGAATTGAGAGGAGAATGACAAGACTAATCCCGGGCATTAGGAACCTTGAGTACAGAGACGGGTTAAAGCATCTTACTGTACATTCCCTCGAGAGACGTAGAGCGAGGGACGACATGATAGAGGTGTATAAATGGAAGTCAGGGCTAAACAAAGGGGACATTACAAAAGTACTCAAACTATCCAACCGGAACAAACTTGAAGCAATCATTTTAAATTAGACAAATGTTGATTTAGGCACGAGATAGGTAAACATTGGTTTGTAAATAGAGTAGTGAAACAAGTTACCAAACATCATTATTAACTCAAATATGTTGGACAACTTTAAATATGGGTTGAATGTACTGTCTGGTATAGCTGCTCCATTATTATATTGTTATTTAACATGACTACTTCAGACCAACATGGTAACAGCGTCGTACTGCACTCCGGCCATGAGAGAGCTTCACGAGGCAGCTTCAGACGCAGGCATTACTGTGGTTAATGAGGTCGGTCTTGATCCTGGCATTGACCACCTCTTGGCTATGGAATGTTTCGAGGAGGTACAGTATGTCATGTTGGTTAAAGTAACATTTACCTTCTTTGTTAATGTTAACTTGATGTCATCTACTTGTGTTAATGTTAGAAATTATTTCACATATTTATTTTAGATAGAATAACTGATTTATATAGAAATATTGTCTAAAAGATTAACTCATTTGTATAAAGAGACATAGTACTCATTTTTATCAGAACACAGTTGGTTAATTCAGTCATAACTCACAGGTCCAAAGAGGCGGTGGTAAAATTGACTCGTTCGTCTCGTTCTGCGGAGGACTGCCGGCCCCCGAGTTCTCCGACAATCCCCTGCGTTACAAGTTCTCGTGGAGTCCACAGGGTGTACTACTCAATACCCTGGCTGGTGCTAAGTATTTGGAGAATGGCGAGGTGAGTGGTGACTGTTTAATGGGCTCAGTGACTGTTGGATTGATTGAGTGGGTGTTTAATGACTTAGAGGGAGCTGAAAACTGTATAAAATAACAAAAAATTTCATTATTTCTTACAAGTATATAACTAAATATTTATAACTACTTACAAGTTTGTAACTAAATATTTTTTATATTATTTACTTTCACCTGATATTAGTAGAATAGTATTAGAAGACCTAACCTAACCCCCGAATATTATTAGGGTAGTTAAGCTTTAGGCAAAATAAGCTTGGGCGGACAGTTGACAGCCGCTTGTGTGTTTACAGGTCATAGAGATCCCTCCAGGCGGTGCGCTCCTCGACGCCACTGAAGAATTCACCTTCCTGCCGGGTCTGGCCCTCGAAGGATTCCCCAACCGTGACTCCACCGTTTACAGGAGCCTATACGGCATCCCAGAGGCCAAGACCGTGCTCAGGGGAACTCTGCGCTATAAGGGCTTCTCTGATATTGTCAAGGCATTACAGAAACTTGGACTGATCGATCCTCAACCACACCCCATGTTGCATCGAGGGGGTCCTGATATTACCTGGGTAGGTCTGTGATGTAACACTGTCTCTGGTAGAGGCCACTGTCTCTGGTCATATTTAAACCTTCAACTAAAATGTATACAAAAAATGGTTAGAAAAAGATATTTGACATAAACTTTGAACCTCTGATACAAACAACAGATACAAGTGGTGTGTAATCTATTTCATCTGTAAACAATAATATTTTTTACAGAAACAACTTGTGTGTAGTCTACTCGGCCAGCTGGACTCAAATATTTTCTACGACAACTTGAGATCGCTGGTGCTGGAGCGAATAGATAATGATAACCAGTTACAAAACTTTGAATCTCTGGGGCTGTTAAATGACGATTTGGTGTTCAAGGCTAACTCACCGCTCGACACTCTCTCTCACTACCTCTCAAAACGACTAGAGCTCCGTAAGTGGCGTCTTGTTTTTGGTGTTGTAGTGTAGCTTGGGATGTGTCGGGGTTTCTGTACTCTGGCATGTTGAGTACAGGATTACCCCAGTCATTGGCAATATTGGTTCCAGTATTGTTTTGAGATTTAGGTTCTCTGACATGTTGAGTACAGTAGTTTGTAGTTCTTTACTAATTTCTTGAGTACAGTCATTTGAATTTATATACTCTAACTTAATGAGTACATTAGTTTTTATTTCCTTTTACTACACATGTACAGGGTGTCTTATAGTTCACACACACATGTACAGGGTGTCTCATAGTTCACACACACATGTACAGGGTGTCTTATAGTTCACACACACATGTACAGGGTGTCTTATAGTTCACACACACATGTGCTGTGGTGTCTTATAGTTCACACACACACATGTACAGGGTGCCTATAAGTAGTTCACACACATGCAGGTGTTCTGTGTATAGTTCACACACATGTACAGGTGTCTTATAGTTCACACACACATGTACAGGGTGTCTCTTTATAGTTCACACACATGTACAGGGTGTCTTATAGTTCACACACACATGTACAGGGTGTCTTATAGTTCACTCACACATGTACAGGGTGTCTTATAGTTCACACACACATGTACAGGGTGTCTTATAGTTCACACACACATGTACAGGGTGTCATATAGTTCACACACACATGTACAGGGTGTCTTATAGTTCACACACACATGTACAGGGTGTCTTATAGTTCACACACACATGTACAGGGTGTCTTATAGTTCACCCACACATGTACAGGGTGTCTTATAGTTCACACACACACATGTACAGAGATTGTCTTATAGTTCACACACACATAGCTAGGGTGTCTTATAGTTCACACACACATGTACAGGGTGTCTTATAGTTCTACACATGTACAGAAGTGTCTTACCAAACACACACACATGTACAGGGTGTCTTATAGTTCCACACACACATGTACGGGGTGTCTCATAGTTCACACACACATGTACAGGAGGGGTGTCTTATAGTTCACACACACACATGTACAGAGATTTGTCTCATAGTTCACACACACACATGTACAGGGTGTCTTATAGTTCACACACACATGTACAGGGTGTCTCATAGTTCACACACACATGTACAGGGTGTCTTATAGTTCACACACACATGTACAGGGTGTCTTATAGTTCACCCACACATGTACAGGGTGTCTTATAGTTCACACACACATGTACAGGGTGTCTTATAGTTCACACACACATGTACAGGGTGTCTTATAGTTCACACACACATGTACAGGGTGTCTCATAGTTCACACACACATGTACAAGGTGTCTATAGTTCACACACACATGTACAGGGTGTCTCATAGTTCACACACACACATGTACAGGGTGTCTCATAGTTCACACACACATGTACAGGGTGTCTTATAGTTCACACACATGTACAGGGTGTCTCATAGTTCACACACATGTACAGGGTGTCTCATAGTTCACACACACATGTACAAAGGTGTCTTATAGTTCACCCACACACATGTACAGGGTGTCTTATAGTTCACACACACATGTACAGGGTGTCTTATAGTTCACACACACATGTACAGGGTGTCTTATAGTTCACACACACATGTACAGGGTGTCTACAGATTTCACACACATGTGCAGGGTGTCTTATGGCTTACACACACATGTACAGGGTGTCTCATGGATTCACACACACACATGTACAGGGTGTCTTATAGTTCACACACACATGTACAGGGTGTCTCATAGTTCACACACACACATGTACAGGGGTGTCTTATAGTTCACACACACACATGTACAGGGTGTCTCATAGTTCACACACACATGTACAGGGTGTCTTATAGTTCACTTACACATGTACAGGGTGTCTTATAGTTCACACACATGTACAGAGTGTCTTATAGTTCACACACACATGTACAGGGTGTCTTATAGTTCACACACACACATGTACAGGGTGTCTTATAGTTCACACACATGTACAGGGTGTCTTATAGCACTACACACACATGTACAGGGTGTCTCATAGTTCACACACACATGTACAGGGTGTCTTATAGTTCACACACACATGTACAGGGCGTCTTATAGTTCACACACACATGTACAAGGGTGTCTCATAGTTCACACACACATGTACAGGGTGTCTTATAGTTCTACACACATGTACAGAGGTGTCTCATAGTTCACACACACATGTACAGGGTGTCTTATAGTTCACACACACATGTACAGGGTGTGTTATAGTTCACACACACATGTACAGGGTGTGTTATAGTTCACACACACATGTACAGGGTGTCTTATAGTTCACACACACATGTACAGGGTGTCTTATAGTTCACACACACATGCACAGGGTGTCTTATAGTTCACACACACATGCACAGGGTGTGTTATAATTACACACACAGGTACAGGGTGTCTCATAGGTTGCCCACACAGGTACAGGGTGTCTCATAGGCTGCCCACACAGGTACAGGGTGTCTCATAAGTCACACACACAGGTACAGGGTGTCTCATAAGTCACACACACATGTACAGGGTGTCTTATAGTTCACCCACACATGTACAGGGTGTCTTATAGTTCACACACACATGTACAGGGTGTCTTATAGTTCACACACACATATACAGGGTGTCTTATAGTTCACACACACACATGTACAGGGTGTCTTATAGTTCACACACACATGTACAGGGTGTCTTATAGTTCACACACACATGTACAGGGTGTCTCATAGTTCACACACACATGTACAGGGTGTCTTATAGTTCACCCACACATGTACAGGGTGTCTCATAGTTCACACACACATGTACAGGGTGTCTTATAGTTCACACACACATGTACAGGGTGTCTTATAGTTCACACACATGTGCAGGGTGTCTTATAGTTCACACACACATGTACAGGGTGTCTTATAGTTCACCACACATGTACAGGAGTGTCTTATAGTTCACACACACATGTACAGGGTGTCTTATAGTTCACACACACATGTACAGGGTGTCTTATAGTTCACACACACATGTACAGGGTGTCTCATAGTTCACGTACACATAGTTCACACACACATGTACAGGGTGTCTTATAGTTCACACACACATGTACAGGGTGTCTCATAGTTCACACACACATGTACAGGGTGTCTTATAGTTCACACACACATGTACAGGGTGTCTCATAGTTCACACACACATGTACAGGGTGTCTCATAGTTCACACACACATGTACAGGGTGTCTTATAGTTCACACACACATGTACAAGGTGTCTTATAGTTCACACACACATGTACAGGGTGTCTTATAGTTCACACACACATGTACAGGGTGTCATAGTTCACACACACATGTACAGGGTGTCTTATAGTTCACACACACATGTACAAGGTGTGTTATAGTTCACACACACATGTACAGGGTGTGTATAGTTCACACACACATGTACAGGGTGTCTTATAGTTCACACACACATGTACAGGGTGTCATAGTTCACACACACATGTACAGGGTGTCTTATAGTTCACACACACATGTACAGGTGTGTCTATAGTTCACACACACATGTACAGGGTGTGTTATAGTTCACACACACATGTACAGGGTGTCTTATAGTTCACACACACATGTACAGGGTGTCTCATAGTTCACACACACATGTACAGGGTGTCTCATAGTTCACACACACATGTACAGGGTGTCTCATAGTTCACACACACATGTACAGGGTGTCTTATAGTTCACACACACATGTACAGGGTGTCTTATAGTTCACACACACATGTACAGGGTGTCTCATAGTTCACACACACATGTACAAGGGTGTTCACACATGTACACATAGTTCACACACACATGTACAGGGTGTCTCATAGTTCACACACACATGTACAGGGTGTCTTACACACACATGTACAGGGTGTCTTATAGTTCACACACACATGTACAGGGTGTCTTATAGTTCACACACACATGTACAGGGTGTCTCATAGTTCACACACACATGTACAGGGTGTCTCATAGTTCACACACACATGTACAGGGTGTCTCATAGTTCACACACACATGTACAGGGTGTCTTATAGTTCACACACACATGTACAGGGTGTCTCATAGTTCACCCACACATGTACAGGGTGTCTTATAGTTCACCCACACATGTACAGGGTGTCTCATAGTTCACCCACACATGTACAGGGTGTCTCATAGTTCACCCACACATCATTTATCCCTAAGAACTGTGGAATAAAGCCTAAAGAGCTTCTGTGGTCTGGTTTATTTATTTATGTCGTCACAGAGAGAGGGGAGCGCGATTTGGTGGTTCTACGTCACGAGATCGGCATCACGTGGCCCGACGGCAGGAAGGAGTTGAAGGGCATCAACCTGGTGTCGTACGGCGAGTCGACCGGTTATTCGGCCATGGCCAAGACCGTGGGTTATCCGGCCGCCATAGCCACACGGATGGTCCTGGACGGAGAGATCCAGGGACTAGGGATGGTTCTGCCGTTTACCCGAGACATTTACCGACCGATCATCTCTAGACTCGAAAAGGAAGGAATTACCGCAACGGAAAAATCCACGTGGGTTTAACGAGAACGAATCACCAAGAGAAATAGTTTAATAATAAAGTGTAACACAGGCTTGAGTAGACAGAGCATAATTACCATAAATCATATGATAATAAGAAGAAGAATTTGTATTTTGGCAATTAATGAGGATAGCCGATAAAGCCATTAGAAGCTTATATCCCTTTACCCAACAGCATCTAGGCTGTTGACACTTACCTACAGGTCCCCTCTAATAGTTTGGCGTTCACCAAAATAAAATATCAAAAGTGGCGTTCCGGTAGTGAAGGAGTTTATATTAATTGTTGTTTTGTACTGGTGCTAAAATAATTGTAAGAGTTGTATAAAAAATATTGACGTTTATATTTTGAAAGATCAAGTTGTCAATAATTGTAATGATGTTCGCTGAAGTAATTTTGTAAGATTTAATTTACTGTCCCCCAAAAACTCGTGAAGCCTCTCCTCGTGAACCACAAACCCCAAGATTGAGACTCATGAATCTGAAGCATTTCTGTACACAATACTGCATCAGTGCCTAATGCTTTAGGTTCAAGAGTCTGAATCCTGGGGTTAGTGGCTCATAAGGAGATGTGAGTACAGAGCTGTAGTAAAACCCCCGTTATCCACAATGAATGCATTTGGCACCAAAACGAAATAATAATAATATAAAATTCCTCCGACATCAGGTAGAATCGTAAGTTTGAATACCGTGGACAATGGGGACGAGCTGCCAACAGGACATGGCCAGTCAACAATGTGGGTGTCGTCCTGGCTGTGTGTATGTCACGAGGAGGGAACGGCGTTATAGCCTCCACCCACAGCACTTCCCCCACACTGTTATTTCATAGTTTTATATTATATTTTCTTTATTTCTATGCCACATCACTTCCCCCACACTGTTATTTTATAGTTTTATATTATATTTTCTTTATTTCTATGCCACATCATTTATATAGAGTAAATGAGTGTTAAAGAAGTCCATTTTCTGATGCACAATAAGTGAGGCCAGTCTGTAGCACTGTGTATTATAGGGGATCCTAAGAGTGAGTTTCACCTAACCACAAAATCTCTCGATAGCTTGGCTTGTATAATGTTGTGACCATTCAGTAATGATTTAGAAAGCTGATATTGTTCCACTGTTGTTTATTGTAGTGAATTATGTTGTTAAGAAAATCCAGTGTTTAGTACTACTGTAGTGTAGAGGCGTTTGTTGTGGACAATTATAAAGTAATATTTTAGTATTGCAGTATTTGTTAATTGTAGTTAATTAGTTGTTGTTAAAAGCTGTTTTTGTTTCAATATCAGGAGTAATTGTACATTTATAACATTAGCAAACAACTCAAGTTACTTCTCAGTGTGATTGTCATTGCTGATGTTAGTCTATGATATATTTTGTAATTTTTACCCAAATAAATAATTTCTTATATAGATTATTTAATTATGTTTTTCCCATGGGTTACAGTTAGTCAGTGGTTTTCTGGGTCATGACACTCTTTATCAGCAGCATGCTGGTGGCCTATGGGGGTTACAGAACACTCTTGACTCTCTTTGTAGCTTACTGTATTGGGGGGGGGGCACTGCCCACAGGGGCCCTACCAGAGGTGCCATCCCCAGGGGCCCTACCAGGGTGTAGGGACTGTAGCAGGTCCCGCATGTCCTGTGAGGTGTTGGTCGTCTGGGGAGCGCTGATCAGGACCGGAGGAAAGTGAAAGTGTGGCCGTGGAGTTGTGCGCAGACGCATGGCGTACAGCAGTGTATTGGTGGAATACTCTGTCTGCCGTGGCTGCGTAGGTGGCCGAGGTAGTGGAATAGGCCAATACTGAGAGGACAAGACGAACTTCTGCAGGGAGCTTCCGAGTGTGAAGCTGGCGCAGGTTAATGTCAGGAAGCCTGTCTGTGTGGCGGGAGTACAGTCTCTGCTTCTCGTCCCAGAGACGTGGAGTTTCCGAGGGAGAGACAGGATAGGTCTTGTAGGAGAGTGGTGCAGGGCCGCTGGTATAGCGTCTTCAGAGCATCCCGTAGGGCAGCGAATTTGTTGTCAGCTGGAGGGTTGGTGATGGTCTCTGAGACTTGCGTGGCGACTTCTGTGGGCAGGGAACAGACCAGGGCGACATACTTTTGTTTGTCTGAAGCTGTAGAGCCGATGAGAGTTGACTCCATGTGGATAAGCCAGTCTTCAATGTTGTGATTGAAGACTGGGAGAGTGATCCGTTCCTCCTCCTCCATTCTGTGAGAGTGTGTCACTCCGGGGTCACCATTTGTGGGGTTTCGTGATGTTGTCTCACACTCAGGATGGGTTGGAGAAAGGAAACTCACAATGTGTTCTCTATATATATATTGTAGTGGATATACAGTGCAGCTTGGTGCTGTAGGAGCGTGGAGTAGAGAGCTGGTTGGTGAGGAACTTGCTCAGAGGTGTTGCTGGCTCAGGTAGAAGGCTGTTCAGGTGAGGGCTTATATAGCAGAGGTAGGCGTGGGTTGATAGCTGACTTTAGACCACGAGGCATTGGCTGGGGAACTCGACAAGGGATCAACTAGTCAGCGACAAACGGCAGTTGTAGTTGTAGGGGAAATATCCACTACAACACTCCACCCCCTCCCTCCCCCGACAAGACTTGATCACACGCACTTAGTGACTTGACAGAAACAAAGATGTGGTAATATTTGATAATGAAATGCTATGTTATCTTTATTATATCAATAATGAATATCTTAAGAACAGCTGAATTTGTCATCTCTGATGCTATGCCCTGCCTGACTACTGTAACAGCATAGTACAGCTGATTACAAAACTTACAGTAATGATATAATCCAAGTCACAGTGGTAAACCTGTATATAATGTGAGATGAAAATACCTTCCTGGCTTTCTCGAGTTATTCTTGCTTAAACAGATGTACTAGCACCGTTTATCAAGGCCTGTATACCTGCACTGTATATGTGCATTGTTTACTTCCTGCACTGGCTATGTATATTGTATAAATGCACATTGTTTGTATACAACTGTATACATTCACTGTCTTGTGCACCATACAGTACAATGTTTGTATACCAGCACAGTCAGTGTAAATTTTATATACTGTGGCGTACTGTTGAGGCAGGTTGTCAGATTCTCTTTATATGGCCTCACAACGTACGTACATGTAATATATCTCACACTCAGGATTGAGGTAAAATAGAAACTCACAATGCATTTCCTGTATATATATTGTTGTACAGAGCAGTGTTAAAGAGTTACTAGGTCAGGAGAAGCTTGTTCAGAGGAGCTTGCTGGTGGCAGTAGGTAGAAAGAGATAGGTGACGGCCAGGTGGGGTCTTATATAGCGGGGGTAGGCGTGGCTTGATGGTTGGCCCCCGCTTTGTTCGGCGTCCCTGGTTACCGACCTTGACCACGAGGCGTACGCTGGGGGTCGGCCAGTCAGCGACAAACGGCGCTTGTATTTGTAGGGGAGATGATCCACTGCAATACCTCCATGGTTTATGTAGTTAGTATATATGCACTACTGTATATGTATACAGTGTTTATATTCCTGTACTGTCTGTGTACGTTATACGTTCATTGTTTTATGTATAGTGTAAACTGGTAAACAGTTCACTGAAACAATTATTGTAGACCATCTACCAGTACAATATTTTATCAACACCATCTACCGAATCATCTACTTCAGTTATTCTCGTAACCCATTGTTTTCTATAACAAAATGTTCTTTTATGGAACCAGTAAGACTGCTGAAAATTTGCATATTTCGATCTATGTTCAAATTTTGAATACACTAACTACACTATAATTAATTAATACAACTTAAATGATTCCAAATACAATAATCAGTTAAAACTCTGTAAAGGGCAATTACGGAACTCTACAGTCATTTGTATATAGGAAGGTAGAGCAAAAGTAGTAATATAAATGCTATACTTTAGTGTTTGAGTCAGATATTTATAGTTTTCGATTTGTATTTTTATTTTTTAACTTTTCGATTTCAGGTTTGGTTATTGAGGTTCATTTGTTTGTTTGTTTTATCTTGTTGGATTAGGAGGTTAGGTCAGGTCCTTGTGGTTTCTCTGTAGACCACATACTTCAGTAGCTCCAGCTTTGTAGACCACATACTACAGTAGAACAAGCTCTGTAGACCACATACTACAGTAGCTCCAGCTTTGTAGACCACATACTACAGTAGCTCCAGCTCTGTAGACCACATACTTCAGTAGCTCCAGCTTTGTAGACCACATACTACAGTAGAACAAGCTCTGTAGACCACATACTACAGTAGCTCCAACTCTGTAGACCACATACTTCAGTAGCTCCAGCTTTGTAGACCACATACTACAGTAGCACAAGCTCTGTAGACCACATACTACAGTAGAACAAGCTCTGTAGACCACATACTACAGTAGCTCCAACTCTGTAGACCACATACTTCAGTAGCTCCAGCTTTGTAGACCACATACTACAGTAGCACAAGCTCTGTAGACCACATACTACAGTAGCACCAACTCTGTAGACCACATAATACTGTAGTGGATTTCTCCCCTACAAACGCTGTTTGTCACTGCCTAGCTGACCCCACCAATTCCCCAATGTGTGCCTCGTGGTCTGGGTCAACCAGCGCCGCCGTACATCACGGAGCGGGGGTCAACTACTAAGCCACGCCAACCCCCACTATTTAAGACCTGACCTCGTGGTGATCTGGCTCTTTCTACCTCCACCAACCAGCCAGCAACACCTCCTCCTCCTCCGCCTGCCTGGCGGTCCTCGCTCCGGACGGCGAGCATGGCGACCCACAAGCTGTCCTTCTCTGAGCGTCCTCACCAACCAGCTCTCTCTACATCACGCTTGTAACCATGCTGCCTTCCCAGCACCAAGCTGCATTGTACATCCAATACAACATGTATACAGAGAGCACCTTGTGAGTTTCCTTTCTCCATCCCATCCTGAGTGTGAACCAAACATCCTGAACCCCACACTACAGTAGCTCCAGCTCTGTAGACCACATACTACACTAGTTCCATCTTTGTAGACCACATACTACAGTAGCTCCAGCTCTGTAGACCACATACTACAGTAGTTCCATCTTTGTAGACCACATACTACAGTACCACAAGCTCTGTAGACCACATACTTCAGTAGCATAGCGGGGAGTAGTCACCACCTGATGTGACGCTCAGAGGGATAATGGCGGCCGGGCGGCAAGGCACTCCGACCGCATGGAACCTGAGGTGACGGTAGAACGGGGAATACTGAGAAATAATGCCTGACGGGCGGTTATCACACCCCCTAACACATTCCTATTACACTTATATATCCGGCAAAGCTTTAAACTGTAATAACTTCTATATATAAACCTTAATTATAGGGCTATTACATTTTCGCCCCCCCCCCCCAGGCCCTGATGTGGGTCAGTGATCTATGCCCGGGTGGGCTAATCCCTGTTAAAAAAAAAAAAAAAAAAATGCCCCACAAAAATAAAACTTTTGGTTTTCGGAATTTTGGATAAAGGGTTGTCAACTGTACAGTATTTTCTTGTTTTTTTTAAGGGAAGGATAACTTTCACGTGTATATAATGACTAATGATTATGTCTTGCTTTACGTATTATGGTAATTAATATTAAAATATCTTGAGTATTTGCATTAAAGTATTATATTTTGTTTATTCTCACATTTTAAACATCAATCCACTCACTCATATCTTCCCTTATACAGTTCATGTGATGATCAATGCATTTCAAGAATTATTACATCTTATATTTTTACGTCAATATTCTTTTAAAATTGTCGGTAAATCTTATAACAAATTCTATTTAACTAATACTTATGTTTATGTAAATGTCCTGTTGTTGTGACTGCTATATAAGTATAGGCTCCACATATATCAACAAGATGGTGGCACTAACATTGTGTTGATTAATTTATAAGTAAGGAAAATTTAATCAAGATTTGGATGGGACAGGCTGTGGTAGTTCATATACAGTACGTTGGGTTCAGGTCACGACTGTCTTATACATTTCCATGTAAATTTTAAATACTGATCCATATTTGATATTGAATGTATGAATGTTACAAACTTTGATATCTAATATGTAAAAGATGGCCACATAGGCCTAAAATCTATCCACTATGTAAAGAATAATACAGTACAGTAGTTATACATACAGTACAGAATTTCAGTGTAAGGAAACTACATTTTTCTGACTACTTTTGATGTTTATATTATTGAAAACTACATCTATTAGTATTCACATTTGAAAAAGGTTTAAAGAAATTGAATTTTGTTAGTTAGGGGGATATACCGGTACTGTATATATACTGTACCTGTGTATGTAAAGTATGTATCCCAGACCCACTAAATAAAAATAAGATCAATAACAATCCCTCAAGCCTTGCCTGCTATCAAAGTTTCCCTGTTAATGAAAATAGTAATCCTAAAGAA